ATATATATATATATGGGTTGAGAATAAACTGTAGATCAGATATAGATATGAATCCGACAAGATGATAAAATAAAATAATGAACAAGTAGGAAACTTATCTCAATCTAATATGTTTCACTTTTAATCAAACTTCGTCAAAGATCGAGATAGAAATGAAAAAATGCAAGAGATAAAGGGTACGTTATGATTTGTGGTTAGTTCTTATTCCTCAGATATGTGTCACGTGTATTAACGCAACAGATAATATATACATATGTGAGAGGAACATTTTGGACGTTGTAGTGTGTAACAGTGTATGAGTGCTTATGCGTGCCTAGATGTATGTTGGACGGTAACATTAATTCCTGTTAGTGTATAATTGCGTGTGTGAGTAATGTCTATAGATGTCACCCTCGTATATGTCGGTCAAATGTAGCGAAATGTTGAAATAATTTTGTATTTGGTTGCATTTTGATATTCTCGTGTATGCGTATGTTTATGTGGAGAATGTCTGTGGTCGTCACCTTTGTGTGGGTCAGTGAGACGCCACAAGATATTGTAATGATGATATTTCCGTTGGATTTACTATTAAAGCATTTCTCAGGCGTATTTTTCATGAGGATTTGTATATTTTCATTATTTTATGTATTAGATCGAAATAAGTTAGATTCATGAATAAGTATTTACTCTGTTCCACCACTAGGACGAGATGTGACACAAGATCTATTTTTAGGTAGAGACCCGAGCGCGTACACCCGGGACAGGAACAAAAATTCCTCTCAGCCCCCGCAGGCGTCGTTTGCGCTGGCCTCGGTGCGTGCACCGATTCATCTCTCTAGTGCAATGAGAAGGCGCGGCCTCGGGCAGCTGTTCCCCAGGGCCGGCACCTCTCAGTATAATTTTCCTCAGTTGCGACTCTGTCCTTTGACGGAATCGCCCCTGAGTGCACTCTGTCCAAAGACAGAGACGCAACTAAGAGATGATAAGTAGATGTGAAATTACAGTGTAACCCGGATATAAGAGAAACCCGGATATAAGAGAGATTTTATCTGGTCCCAAATTAGAGCCCATACTTACCTAAACAAAATAGACCAAACCCGGATATAAGAGAAACCCGGATATAAGATACTTCTTCTCCGGTCCCGACAACTCTCTTATATCCGGTTTACACTGTACTTAAAAAGAGTAATTTACGCGCTTAGATTCATGAATAATGGATCTGTAGAAAGATGGTGATGTGATGTAATGTTTTAAGCGGGTGTTTATAGTGGGTAGTAATGCTATAAATATATCTCCAAAATATTTTCCCCTTAAAAAGTTATGTTCTTTCTTTTTAAAATAAGGCTGGCATTAGTGAAATTAAAGTTATGTCCCACATCGTTTCGATGTAAGACGAGAGAGTTAGAATGTTTGTCTAAACGCAAATCTCTCTTGTGTTTTAGGTACGGATTTTTTAGGTCATGTGATGTCTTCCCCACATAAATGTTTTTGCATGGAGACACTTCCCGGCATTTGAAATGGTATCTGATTTATTTTTCTTCCTGTCGTAACAATTCTAGTGTTAAGGATGGCCAATTCATTTGCGAGTTTAGGTGAAAGGGTGCCGGAGGGCAAGATTACGAATTTTGTGTAATTTTTTAAAGTATCTATGCTTTTGAGTATATGGATTTTGTGAGCTCGATTTTTAGCGTTGAGGATAAGACCTCACTTTATATCGGGCGGCATTTAAACTAGCTCTTGCGGGGGGGTCTTCATTGGTCCCTTCATCACAATAGGCAGGGGAGAGTAAATTTGATAGACAACAATAAACTACAGAAGAACTCAAAATTGATCACGAAGCTTACTTTTTAAGGGTTCAATGATAATTCTTCTGCTGCCATTTAATTTAAAGACAATCTGATGTACGTAGGTCCTCACTCTCCGTACAAATAATTATTCTTATTACAGGGGCGGCTTTCTCTAGATTTTGCAATGAATTTCGATTATATCCAAATTTAATTCCAAGTTATAAAAATTGTTATCATACAAAATAATTATTTCGTTGGATTTATTATTAAAGCATTTCTCAGCCGTATTTTTCATAAGGATTTGTATATTTTCATTATTTTATGTATTAGATCGAAATAAGTTAGATTCATGAATAAGTATTTACTCTGTTCCCCCAATAGGACGAGATGCGACACAAGATCTATTTTTAGGTAGAGACCCGAGCGCGTACACCCGGGACAGGAACAAAAAGAGGAAAGTAAAGAATCGCAGTAATGAAAACTTGGGAATGCAAAATTTCAGGATTGCGTTTTCGAATCCGGCCAGAAATGTTTTTAATTTATTTATGGAGTCGGCCTGATTCCAAAATGGTATCATATGTTGGACTCCGGTCTGTGGAGTAAAGTTGAAGAACTGTGACACACTGACATTCACATTTATTATATAGATATTTAAAAATCATTTCATCGCAAGGCGATAATGTCATTTTGCTGTTGAATCGCAAGCGGTTACTGAGAGTGAAAGAAAATGTGAAAGCGTTAGTGAAGAGAAAGGAGAATAAAAGGATAGGATGAAGAAAAATAGAAGATGATGGCGATTGATGTTGCACAAAGTTTTGCAGCTCGTAAGTGACAGAGAAGCATGAACTTGGACGAAAGTTTCACAGACGAGAAGTGCGAAAGAAGAAATATTACAATAGAACCTACGGATATATACATCGACCTCAACAGTAAGAGACCTAGTTGCCAATCTAGTACTGCGCTTAAATGTATGAGGTCGAAGTGTCATACAGGAGAGATCATTAAAATAATTGACATGAACATTTTTATAGGAAAAAAACAAAACAAAAAACAATGGGAAGTTATTTTACCGCGGTTGAAAGTAACTGAAGTCGACATGACAGGACAGGATCAATTCCTTTATCTTTGGAATTTGTCAAGAATTTTAATCTATTTATCTCTCTCTCTCTCTATATATATATATATATATATATGTATTTTAGGATTTACATCGAAAACATGTCAAAATCGCTACACAATTGCAGTCGTGCTTCGATGCGTATCAATGCATCTCATCAGGTGATTACAAATTACTGGTTAGTGAACAACTTATTTAGATTTAAAAGCAAAATACAACCTGTTTTTACGAAAAAAAAAGAGGGGTTTATAAGGTTTGTGGACTTTACTCGGATTAACCAATCGGAACGTTAAATTATTTTCCATAAATGGGTCATGACCCGTACATTCAATGGCAGCACAGACATTAAACAGGAGCGGATGGTAATGGATACATATTTTACACAATAGACAATGACATTTCCTAAGAAATATGAGGTGGAGTGGTAATTTAACAAAATGTTGAACAAGTTATATGCTTTGTGAGTTTCCGACATAATTTTTTTATAGTTGATAAATAAATAGCTTCTTTAAGAAACCAGTAAATAATTTAAATCTATAGAATTACTTGGTAAATTAATTTGCAACTGTTGACTAAAGATTCTATATATAAAATGTTAATAACAATCATCAATCAACGCAAAATGTCAAAAATACCAAACAAATACCCATACATCCGTACAAGATGTTACTAATACTACCAGGAGATTAATACAAAATTATACAAAATCCAAATTAATCTTACAAATAGAAAGATAAGCCATATATGGTGTAACACAGTTCAACTAAAATCTAAGAAAAAGCATTGTCAACTTCCGAGTCTAACTGAATTGTAAAATAAAAGGTAGACTATATATATATATATATATATATATATATATATATATATATATATATATATAATATATAAACATATATTGTTAAATATAACAGATAATGAATGTCTATTATTTTTTTATCAGAAGCCGTTCTAAACTCCTGAATAAAGAAAAAAAAAAAAACTCTAAATAAAGACAAAAATTGCCCTACGTTTGGATATTTTTATGAAGCTGTTCCTTGATATACGCTTTCGGCTCACACGTGTCATCTTCAGAGTGGTCATATGTAAATTTAAACAAAGATATTCACTACCGGTGATATTTTGCTATGCGACAACGATAACGGTCGCGGAATAGCAGACGCAGGTCGTAATTTTTTATCTAAATATATTTTTGTCTTTACACTAAATATATTTTTTGTCAATACACTATATATATATATATATATATATATATATATATGTCTGAGCCTGAATATTGCCTTTTAATCATGCAACAGATGAGTGCCTATCTCAATGTCCATTTTATATTTCTATATTCTGTATCCTTGATATTATGCTTTTTAACCCATTAATATTGCATACTTTAAAACTATATTTTTCACACACATTATATATATATATATATATATATATATATATATATATATATATATATAGGTGAAAATGTATGACAAAGTGGAAAAAATATTTCGTGTGCCGCTTTCCGTCCGATGAAATCCTAAAGGGCGAAAAAATCTTACACAAAAATATTTTTCCACTTTGTTATACATTTTCACCCATATATATATATGTGTGTGTGTGTGTGCGTGTGTGTATCAAAGAAAAGAATTGTCTCTCAGGGATTTCTGTCTGTCTGATATATATATGAAAATATGCCAATTGGTATGAAGAATATTTTCAAGTACCAGCCAGCCAGCCAGTCAAAAACATCCTGACCTTGATAGCATAAATTGGTGGCAATGTTTTCGCTCGAAAAATGTACTTAAACAGTTTTGTTTGTTTGTGTTTTTGGTACAAAGGTATCGCGCTCAGCGATTCAACTACGCAGCCGCCATTGTGGTTGTCGTTCAGCCTCTTTTCCATAGCAACCATCTTGGGTCTTGTAAATGTCTCTTACTGAACGGCTGCCACTGAGGTTGGTCTCTGGAATATTGCCACGAATTTGGCTTGCTAAGCAGTTGTTTAGATATCCATTTAGGGTGCGTTCGAATACGTCACGTGGATTCGCTATTCTCCATCGAGTCGTGAGTTTGACGAACTCTCGAAAGAATTTGTGCGAAAACCCTTGCAGACAGACTTGTTTAGTATTATGGAATTACCAAAGAGAGAGAGAGGGGGGGGAGAGATGGATGGAGAGAGAGGGACAGAGAGAAGAGAGAGGGAGGAAGGTAGGGAGAGAGAAGGAGGGACAGAGACAGGGAGGAAGGTAGGGAAAGAGAGGGAGGGAGGGAGAGAGAGATGAAGAAGGTAGGGAGAGAGAGAGGGAGGAAGGTAGGGAGAGAGAGGGAGGGAGGAGGTAGGGAGGGAGAGAGGGAGGGAGGAAGGTAGGGAGAGAGAGGGAGGGAGGAAGGGAGGGAGAGAGAGAGGGAGGAAGGTAGGGAGAGAGAGAGGGAGGGGGGGGGAGGGAGGTAGGGAGAGAGAGAATTGGTGGATTAAACATCTCGAAAATCCGTATTACGATGCGTGCGGACTAATGGTCAACAGTACAAAAAATGGAATCACCTAGCCGTATTCAAATTTCAGGTGAGTCAATTTGTATTAACTTCGACCTGCGGGCAAGGCATATATTCATCTTATGTTTCTCTGTTGGGAAAATAGTAAAACAGAATGTGTTCTCTAGCCTTGGTTAGCAATCGAAATTTGTGGATATCTTTAATTGTATATATTTGTTAATTATTTTTTTTTTTACATTTTTTGTCAGAAAAAAATCTATACATTTAGGACTAATTAAGAATTCGCAGAGAAATTGCGATATTATTGTGGCTGAATTAATGTGATTTTCGAAACGTAGTTTACATGTGGCACATGGCCGAAAGTATGGGGGCACCCAGTGAGGATCGAACTCACTATTCAGTCTAAATTGATCTAACGAGACAAGCTTGCTAACCCGTACATCACGTCGAAATGCTATGATTTACTAAGCGTTAGCTTAGATATGACACAAGGCCGAAAGTGTGGAGCACCCAGTGAAGATCTATCAAGAAAAGATTGCTAATCGTTACAGCACCTCAAAGTGCCCAAATGGTGGCTGAAGTAAGGCTGAAAAGAAAGGCTGAAGTAAGGCTGAAAAGTAAGGCTGAAAAGTAAGGCTGAAGTAAAACTGAAAAGTAAGGCTGAAAAGTGTTATGTGTGAAGTTATGGTGAGAGGAAACATGTTCAAAGAAATAAATCAGTGATTCTGACACGACAGGCTAATAAAGACTAGGAACCAGTTTAGGCCGTTTTTCCAGATGTTTTCTGTATGAATTAAAACCATATCCTTGGTTGGCAACCAGTCTAGTAGAAGGCGAACCCTGAATTTAAAACCGTGTAGGAATCTCTTGGATACCACTTTACTATTTTCACAAAACAATCGTGATTAATACACAATTTATAGATATTAACAAAAAGAAAAAGAAGCTGTAGAGGACCATGATCGCATACGTCTTGAAGGAACATGGCACGCTTGAAAAATAATAGCAATATTGTACACTAATGCACGCTACTTGAACAAAAAATGCGATATGCTGAAAATGATATCAGAAAGAATAATGCAAAAGTAGAAAGACGTTCCTGTGTTTTATATCAAAAGCGTTTGATAAACTACGTCACATAGAGCTGTTGCAACTGCTTGGTAACCTTGACATATCTAGGAAGGATATTAAAATAATCCAGAATCTATATTGGCAGCAAAACCGCCTTCATAGATATAGAAAATGAATTCAATAAATATACAAAAATAGAAAAGATTGTAAGACAAAGTTGTGTTTTCTCACCGGACTTATCCAACCTCGAAAGAGAGAATTTTAAGTCCTACAAAATCCATTATTAGCGGCCACAATCTTAACAACATAAGATATGCAATTGACATAGTGTTCATAGAAGACATAGAAAAGGAAACTATGTAACTTCTACAGAAGATAGTAAAGGAAAGCGAGAAGAATGGACTAAGCATCAATTGCAAGAAGACAGAAAACATGGTTGGTAGCAAATGTATGAGCCCAACATACGAGTTACAAATTGAAGATACAAAAATCAAACAAGCACAAAAATTTAAATATATGGGAAATGTTTTAACAGAGGACGGAAAAAGCGACACTGAAATCCGAAGGTGTTTTGGGATAAGCAAAGATGCCTTCCAAAAATTAAGCAGAGCATTAAGAAACAAAAATGTCATTAGAAACAAAGAAAAGCGTGCTAAACTGTTATGTAATATCAATCCTCCTATATGGCAGTGAATGCCGAAGAATCTCCTCACAGATGAAGAAGAAATTTCAGGCAACAGAAATGTTGTTCTTCAGAAGGATACTGAGAATACCATGGAACGAACATGTGAGCAACGACGGAGTTTTACGTAGAATGGAATAAAAAGGACACGTATACTTCACATCAGGAAGAGAGAGTTGAAATTTCTAAGGCATTTAAAAAGGGACCGAGGGCTTGGAAAATTTAATACTCACAAGGCAGATTGAAGACAAGAAGGACAGAGGAAAACGACGCATAACATACTTAGTGAGCTTGAGTAAATTGACGGCGAAACAAGGCTTAAGAGAAATTAAAAAAAGACAAAATTTATAAAGATCTAGAAAGGAGAGGAAATTGTGGAGAGCCATGATCGCCAACGTCCTGAAGGGAAACGGCATGTAGAAGAAGAAGAATGAGCTTGAGTAAATGAATGGTGGAACAAGGTTTAGGAATGATTGCAAAAAGACAACATTTATAGCTACAAAGGACAGGAAATCATGGAGAGACATAATCACCTACGCCCTGAAGAAGAACTTAGGTTTTAAAAATGAGCAAGTCAATATATTAGAATATTATAATTTCAATCACTTCTCTGAACTTTGCTTTATACATGTGAAGAAAAATGTCATTTTTATAATCAGAATGCTATCAAACTGAGAAATACAAATGCGTTAAAACCGTTACTTTGATCGCGTAAAGGCATTTCATAAGTCCGACACGAAGAGCTACTTGAAATATTAGAAAAGCTTGATTTGCTCGACACAAAGAGCGGACAGAGAATTAATTAAATGAATACGCCAAAGGCAAGAACAGCAAATGAAGGCTGCCAGTGTATTGTTTGCGAAACGATCCGAAGAGAATTTGAACATCGACCAGGATTTATTATCAGTGGACATCATCTTAACAGCGTAAGTTAAAGACAGTCCGAAAAATAGCTGAAATATTTCTTAGGCAAAGTAATACCAGAAAGCAAGAAGAAAAGACTGTCTATAAGATAGAAATCATGTTAAGAAAAGAGACAGCCATATATATACTTATCTCAAAAGATAGTAAGTGAAAAAATATATTTGGTTCTCGGATTGGTAAATATTAGTAGTTTGTATTGTAATCTATAAGTATTTTCTTGTTTGGGGGATGTGTAAATATTGATCATTTATAATATAATCTGTAAGAATTTATTTGGTTGAGAGATAAGTATATATATTATTTACATTCTTCGGACTATTGTCCTCATCTTTGTCGCCATATTTATCACAACGTTTCGGCCCTTCAGTATCTGTCTATATTTCTGAGATGAGGTATTATGTACACTATTTACATTATTCAGACTATTGTCCTCATCTTTGTCGCCATATTTATCACAACGTTTCGGCCCTTCAGTATCTGTCTATATTTCTGAGATGAGGTATTATGTACACTATTTACATTATTCGGACTATTGTCCTCACCTTTGTCGCCATATTTATTACAACGTTTCGGCCCTTCAGTATCTGTCTATATTTCTGAGATGAGGTATTATGTACACTATTTACATTATTCGGACTATTGTCATCACCTTTGTTGCCATATTTATTACAACTTTTCGGCCGTTGTACGCTCCGGCCTTCTTCAGGTGGTTAGAAATATCGAACTGAACCCTTTATTTTTCTCACTGGAGTGTCTACCCCAGTGAGCGAAATAAAGGGTTAAATAAAGGGTGAAATAAAGGGTTAACCTCAAGGACACATGGCTGAGTGGATAAAGGCGCTGGTTAGATCCAGTGACAGGACCCAAAGAGTGTGAGTTCAATACCCGGTTAAGGCAGTGGAGTACTTGGAGAGGGGAATTAACAGGAGATAACTGATAACTGACATCCATTAAAACATGGCACGTGGAACTAGAACAGTCTACCTCAGTAAGGGATAAAGTGCTCAATATCAGAGACAGAGCGTGTGTAAATATGAAAGTGAACATTAAAGTCAACACTTAAAGGTGACAGGCTGTTTCATGCATGAAAGTGGAGATGAAGATGAGTCCATCATCTCTATAGAGGCCCACTAGTTCTGGATATACGATTCTACAAAGTATATCCCAATATAGAAGCTTTACTAAATCAGTAAGCTGGGCTGAATCATATGTTCCCATAGGGACATCAAAATCGTCATTACGGCTCTTAGTTCAGGTAGAATCGTTAAGTGCTAACAATTATTTTCTAGCAGTTAATATGATATTAGTCTCATCAACCGTTACCTCAACATGTTTTTTTTGCAAAGGTGATACAATCAACTAAGAGGTCCCTGGAGATAGAGAAATAAAAACCTATCATATCAAACTTAATAATGGTTGCTCTTTCTTTATCACTCATATTAGCGAACAATTTGATAGTATCTGACGAATCCTTCCAAAGATTGGTACACGTTGTAATTAATTATTTATCAGTTATTTTTTTTAATTATATTTTTTGAGATTAGATCTAGTTCAGTTTTAGTAGGATTTATTAATCTAGACTGTATATTATTAGCAAACATAGGTTTGTGGTCCTTAAATAAAATATAGACATCTTTAGTATGGATCTTCCCCAATCTAACCGTAATATTTAAAATATTAGCTAACTTGGCAAGTCTCAATGTCGATCTCGGAGATCCGACTGTTATATATATAGATATACATCGATATACCCATAAGGTAATTTTGGATTTCTCTGTTAGGTAATTTATTTGCTCTGTTATAAAAAATACATTGAACTCTTTTTGTGGATCAGTTTTAATATTTTATATTATTAGGACCCACTTGGATTATATACCAACGGATTTTTAACTTTACTGTATATAAGAGAGAGAGAGTGTGAGAGAGAGAGAGAGAGCGAGAGAGAGAGAGATACTGTGTAGGGTGAGATAGATAATGTGTAATGAGAAAAATGAGATAGATAGATAGATTGGAAGAGTATTAGATAGATAGATAGATAGATAGATTGGAAGAGTATTAGATAGATAGATAGATAGATAGATTGGAAGAGTATTAGATAGATAGATAGATAGATAGATTGGAAGAGTATTAGATAGATAGATAGATAGATAGATTGGAAGAGTATTAGATAGATAGATAGATAGATAGATTGGAAGAGTATTAGATAGATAGATAGATAGATAGATAGATTGGAAGAGTATTAGATAGATAGATAGATAGATAGATAGATAGATAGATAGATAGATAGATAGATAGATAGATAGATAGATA